AACTTGCCCTCGTGTATTTCTTATTCGTTGTTTCTTCTTCTTTTTATATTTTTCCTGCCCTTGCAGTCTTATTCTCCGCTGTTTTGTTCCTTCTCGTGGTTTCCTGTTGCTATTCTTTCTCGAGCCCTCGGCCACCCACGCAAGCAAGCAAGCAAGCAAGCACCAGGGATGCCCCCAGGAAAAAAGCAACGACAACGACCGGGTAGTCGGGTACGTGCGCACGCAGCAGCGAAGCACAGTGCAGCGCAGCTCAGCTCAGATCAGCCAGCGCAGCAGCAGCGACAACAAGCGCAGCCCGCCTCATATTCATATGTAGGCAGGCAGGCCTGGCACGCGCAGCACGGCAGACAAGCCAGACAGGGAGGGAGAAGCGTCCGTATACAGCCTGTATTGTAGGCGTGAGGGGTGGGCAGGCCTGCACTGCGCTGCAGCCAAGCGCGTGGGGAGAAAATTACCCACCCACTCCACTCCATCCATCCATCCATCCATCCATCCATTCGCACGCACGCGCGCGCACCCACATATGCACGCACGCGCGGAGCCGGAGCGCCTCCTCCGTCTGTCTGTCTGTCTGTCTGTCAGCTAAGCTTGCGCCGTCTCCACTCGAAATCATTCTCCTCTCCTCGCTCCACCCCACACACGCGCGCGCATGCAACGCCGCTGCTCGCCTCGCCTCGCTTTCGTATCTACAATGCTAGGTAACTACCTAGGCAGTCACCTACCCTGGCTTAGAGTTGAGGCTCGCGCTCCAGTACGTAACTACGTGCCCCGCTTGCACTGGGCTGGCACTGCTGCGGAGCGCGCGTGTCCGTGCTGCCGCCGCCCGCCCGCCGCATTGGCGAATCAGCGCTCGGCGGGTCTGGCCGCCGCTGTGTGCGAGTTAGTCAACTACTTACTTGCTGCCCAGCGGGCGGCCAACTGTGGAGACTGCTGGATGGATGGATGGATGGGCTCTGCCTGCCTGTCTGCCTGTCTGTCTGCCTGCTATGCACGAAGAACCAGGATCCCCCCCCCCCCCCCCCACAAAAAAAAAAAAAAAAAAAAAAAAAAAGCGCGGGCTGGCTGGCTGGGGGCACCGAGGCAGTTCGGCCAGGCTTGGCGAGGCTTGGCTTAAGTAACGAAAGGCTGCTGCTGCTGCAGCGTGGAGTGGTGGTTGGTTGGCTGGTGGGAGCGAGTGGGGTGTTACGGAACAGACGGGCAGCGGCTAGGTGCCCACTTAGGTATCCCGGACTGGAAGTATCCGCACCAGGGCATGCGCGCGCTCCGCCAGGCGGGCAGGCAGGCCGGGCCATGGAGAGCGGACAATGGAACTGCCGCTTCGGCGCTAGATGCCCCGAGGGCCCCGACCCCCCCGCGCCGCGGCGAGCCGTGCCCGGCCGTGCGTGTCCCGCTCCACCCCCACGCTCCGCTCCCCGCGACCTCATCGAGAGAGGAGGGCCGGGACGCGACATGCGAGATGCGTCCCGCTCCGCGTGGTGCCTGGCGGCTTGGGGTTTCCTCGTTCGTTCATCCTTCCTTCCTTCCTTCCTTCCATCCATCTATCCGCTCGTCCGGCCGTCTGTCCGGCTGACTGGCGGGATGGGGTGGGAGGAGGTGGTTGGCGGTTTGGATTGTCAATGGATTCGAGAGGGGACGAGGTCGATGGGTGCGTCGTCGTTCGTGTGTCTGCTGTCGGACTGCTTGTCCGTCGCTTCGTTTGCGGCTTCGTGGTTGGGGGTGGGTGGTTTGCTCTGCTCCTGCTGCTTACCTGTCGACTGTACGTCGGTCTATCTGGGTGCTTGTCTGTTATATCTGTCACTCGGGTATACGTCTACCTAGGTACATCCATGCTTGGCGGTCTGCCTTCTCCGCTGTTGGAAACGGCGGTCGATGGTAAGTAACAACTGTTAAAGAGACGAGTGAATAGTCGGCTAAATGGTCGATTGGTCGGTAGGGTCGAGGAGGTATGTCCGGCCGGGATGTGATAGGTAGGTGAAGGGCCGTGAAATTAGGTAAGTGAATAGGCCATTGGCAGACATGTGAACGGGTAGATGCTAAGACATCTATCTGATCCCTCCTCTCTGCACATCACTGTCTCTCCCCCTCCCTCCTTTACTCGCTTACACCTCTTCCGCCTTCATCTCCACTCCGCACTCTCTCGCTCTTTCTTCTCCACCCCACACTCTCTCTTCTCCGCCCCTTTCTGCTCTCCACCCCTCTGCTCCACGCCTCTCTGTCTGTCCTCCGTCCGCTCCCTTCCCCCGGCCCGTCTCCGCAGACCCACCCTCTCTTCCCCTTGCCCCGCTCCTCTCTCCACTCTCCATTCTCCACTCTCCGCCCTCCACACCAACACCGCACTTCCCCCGCGCCCATTCGTCCCGCTCTCCCCCTCTCCTCTTCAACGCCAACACCAACAACATCAACTCGTCTATCTATCTACCTAGACCAACCCAGTCAGTCCATCTCATCTCAAACCCCATCATCAAATACAACTACACTGACCTCGCTCTCTTTTTACCCTCTCTTACTCTTTCACCCCTTTCCCTAGCTAGCTACTCACCGCCAAGTCTTACACATTGTGCCACACTCACCAGCACACCTTCCCCCCTCCTCCATCAGCACGAACACCTCTCTCCCTTTCCTTTTAAACACCTACCCATCTACTGGCTAAACCAACCCAAACCAACCCACTAACCCAAAAAGAAAGCAGCAGACTCAACCCAACCGACACGAACCCTCCCACCTTCCGCATCGACATCGACATCGACACCACCCAGGCAATACCAAGACCCAAGACCGCAGCCAAGCCAAGCCGCACCCCCTCGGCACCCTACCCCACCACGCCAACGCCGCCGCCCAGCCGCCCAGATCCACTGCCCAGATCCACCTCGATCAATCTCCACGCCCACCGCAATCTCACTAAATCTACGCCCACCCCAACCGCCACCAACCCACCCAAGCCAGCGCAATGAAGCGCACCGGCCCGCCCCATCAAGCCAAACCCAAACCCAAACCCAAAGCCCAAGCCAAGCCCAGCACGACAGCTGACGTGCATACATAGTACATTACATACATATAATGCCTAGCGCCTAATGCCGCAGCATCGCATCGCACAAAGCCTATACGCACGTCACACGCCAAGACCGCCTTCTTCTTTCCCTTTTCTTTTCCGCTCTGCCCACTGCATTCCGTTGCCAAGATTGGAGGGGCACACACGGACAGACAATACTCACGCACTCTAGCAAGCAAACAAGCAAACAAGCAAACAGAAGCAGTGGTACCGGTTATATTACTCGTTACTCCGCCGCTAGCCTGCCGGCCTAGCAGACAGAGTAGTACGCCCAGCCGACAAGCAAGCAAGCTGCTATTATATCGACCCGCCGTGCCGTCTTTCCCGTCCGCCCTAAACGCCGTACCTCCCCGCCGCGCCCCGCCGAGACCTTGGCACCTCATGCCGCCTGCCTGTTATGGTACATGTCATTTGTTGTTATCATTGATGATGATGATTAGGTACGTCTGCCTGTCCCGCCTGTCCTGCCCAGCCCCGTCCCATCCTGTCCTGTCCTGCCTCCTGCCCGATTGATATCATAATGTCGTGTTGTGGATAGTGGTAAGGTAGTAGTAGAAGTGGTGGTACAAGCGCCGTTGAGGGCTATGGCGTCGGCCATGCGTCGTGACGCTCAATGTCTAAAGGCGGTAATCAAGCATTGAAGCCGGCGCCGTGTGCCTGACCGGGCGGGGAGAAAGTAAGAGTAAGAGAGGGAAAGAAATATACGGAGAGTAAGAATAAAAGAAAGTCGAAAGAGGAAACCCCCCAGTTGAACCGCGAGCGCCGTCGTCGTCACTCCTCACGACTTCGCCGGCTCCTGCGCACCCCAAGTGCGCTTCATGGCCTCCCTGAGCACGGGGAGTCCGGCAACAGCCAACACCCCGCCGCCCTCCTTACGCTGCTGGATCGGCGGCGTACCCTGGTTGGGGTCGACTAGCAAGGCCTGGACGCCGGCCCGCTTGGCAGCCGGAACATTCGTCTCGAGGTTGCCGCCAATGAGGACGACGTCCGACGTCTTGAGACCGAGGTTGGAGACGGCCGTTGAGAAGACAAGGTCCGCGTCGGGTCTGTCAGCGCGCTTAGTGCTCGTATCGGCGCCACTGTCGCGGCGACCGATGGCTTCGTCTGTGCCAGGCATATAGGCGCAGGCCGAGATAAAGTTGTCCAGCATCAGGTGCTCGAGGGTCCAGCCGGCCTGTTCGCGCGTCGTGGCAGCGGGATCGAAGAGCACGACGATGCGCGGCATGTCCTTGCCGCGCTTGTCCAAGACTCGGAGCAGCGACATCAGGCCCGGCATGGGAGTCAGGCGCGGGTACAGCGTCTTCTTGAAGATGCGGAAGAGATCGGCGGACTCATCGGCGACATTCTGCTGGCCATTGTGCTCGACGCTTCCGGGATGGTCGCGAGCGAGCTGTTCCAACAACGCGCCGTACACCTTGGCGTAGTGTTCGGGCCAGGAAAGCGGGCGCGACGGGTCGCACGCGCCCTGGTGGGTGATGGTGGGACAGGTGGCCGCCTCCCATGCGCCGTGCACATCAGCCAGGGACAGATTGTGCGTCTCAGCGACGTGGGACAGGACGGCAGCCTCGGCAGCCGACGTGACGAGGCGGTGGGCGTAAAGAGTGCTGTTGAGGTCAAAGGCGAGGCACTTCTTGGACGTCAGCATGGCGCCGAGGGCGTCCATGTAGGGGCTGGCGCCATGCGACTCGGCGTCGGAGTCGGTGGTGCTGAAGGTGCACGAGACGCGGCGCATAGGGTCAGGGGTGTCGTCGCGCGACACGGGGCCCTCGGGGGCCAAGGTGGAGATGAGGGTCGACATGAGGTGGGAAGTGGGTTGGGAGAGGGAAGAAGTTTTGTCGAGAGGAAGAGCGGCGCGGAGGGTATTAAGGTTGGGCATGGTGAGGGAGTCGCCCATGGTTCCACGTGGGTAAGCGGCTGGTCTAGAGTTGATGGGTTTTGTGGCGTGTGTGTGATGGGAGCCCGCGGATTTGCTGGAAGGTGGCTGGCGTGTTGGTTGCTTGTCAATGCGAGGCGGAATTGGTGACACGCTGGACTTATAGATTGTGTATGTTGGACAAGATGATTCATTTCCCAACGCCAACGCCGTATGCCCAGACGTCACAGGCCGATGACGCTGTGTCCGGCGGAAGGAACAAAGGGCGTGCCGTCATCATCTGACTCGGCCCGCCGCTCCCCGCCCGCTAGCTGGAACTGTTTCCCCCGCAACTTCCCCCAGAGAATGCCGTGTCCTTCTACTTCTCCCTTCTCTATCTTCTCCGCTCCGTCGTCGTCACCACCACAACCATGTCCGACGGCCTGCCTCCCATCCCGCAAGTCGCCGGCGACTCGGCCGGTCCGTACGTCTCCGTGCCCAAACATTTCCTATTTCCGTCCGCCTCCCCGCTCCGACCTGTGATGCTGACACCAGACAGGAGACTGAAGGACAAGGTCGCCATCATCACCGGTGCGCGCCGCCCGCCCATCCATCCATGACCACTCCCGCCGCTCACCACTCTCTCTGTGCCCGCAGGCGCCAACTCCCCACTGGGCATCGGCCGCGCCGCCGCCCACCAGTTCGCGCGCAACGGCGCCCGCGCCGTCTACGTTTGCGATTTTGACGACGAGTTCCTCGACGCTCACGCACGCGAGCTTGCACGTCTATACCCAGGCGTTGCCGTGCACGCACGCCGCTTCGATGCCGCTGATGAGCGTGCCGTAAAGAGCGTCGTCGAGGATGCGTTAAGCAGATACGGCCGTCTCGACGTCATGTTTGCCAATGCCGGCATTAGCACGTTGAAGCAATTCACGGACACGACCGCCGACGAGTTCATGAATACGATGCGCATCAATGCATTAAGGTGAGTGTTGCCTTCTCCTCTTTCTCTCTGTCTTCCTTCTTCGTTGCCCAACACCAACACCAACAACCCCACTCCACTCTCCCGAGGAGCCGAACACCGAAAAACTCCCCACCCACATCCCGCCAGCTAACCACCTCCACGCACAGCGTCTTCCTCGCCACAAAATATGCCGCGAAAGCCATGCAGCGCACGTCGGCCGACAAGCCGCACAGTGGAGGGTCCATCATCGCGACGGCGTCGGTGGCGGGCCTGCGCTCCAACGCCGGCAGTAGCGACTACAGCGCGAGCAAAGCGGCCGTGAAGAGCATCATGCAGACGGCGGCATTCCAGCTCACGGGCACCGGAGTGCGCTGCAATGCGTTGTGTCCGGGCGTCGTTGAGACGGGCATGACAGCGGCCATGTACGCGGCCGCGCGTGCCCGCGGCACGCAGTCGAAGATCGGGCAGCTGAACCCGCTGCGTCGCGGCGCAGTCGCTGACGAGGTCTCCCGCGTCGCGCTGTTCCTGGCCAGCGATGAGGCGAGCTATGTCAACGGACAGGCATGGGCGGTTTGTGGAGGGTTGAGTGCGGGGCACCCATTTGTGATGGGGAAGATGGCGTAATGTGTAATGTTAAGGGGAAGTGGGTGTGTGCGGTGAGTGGAGAAAGAGGGGGAAGGGGGAAGGTAGAGAGGGGGGCGATAGCGTGACATCGAGTGAGGGAGGGAAGGGAGGGGATGGGAAATGGATTGCTACTGCCTACTATCCATCTACATAGCTCGTGTGTACTCTACAGAGACAGGACAGGTAAAGACCTGTCAAGCCTGACAGACAGACAGGCCGGCATACATTTACAGACAGCTGCACAATCATTTAATCAAACAAATCAAGCCACATAATAGCAAGACCAACAAAACCCCCCACCCCACACCCGCACACACACCCGCCGCCAGGCCGCCCTGACGCCCCGACGCTTTGACACTCTGACGCTCTGACGCATCCCAGCTCCTTCCCTCCCACCCCCCGCCTTCCTTCCCCGCCGCCGCGCTCCGACCGCCACCCCAACCAACACAAACAAATCACGGTATCACCTCACCTCACCTCAGCAGTCGCCACTGCCAGTGCACAGTGCGCAGCATCCCCTCCCCTCTCTTTCCGCGCCCACTTACTCCGTACAAGGTACCTACCTAGAGTAGGTAGGTAGGCATGTCGCTGGCGTCAGCCCTCAGCAGTGGCTGCCGCGTCGGCCGGCCCCAAATGCCGCGCCCTGCGCCCCTCGTCCGCCGCTACCGCTGCTGCTGCCATCAGCAGAGACGTTGATGGTGTGTGTGTGTGTAGCAGTAGACAGATAGACAAGTAGGTATATTTGCCGGTCAGACTGCCCGGCCGGCGCAAGAGTAAGAGCAGAAAGAGCACATGCCGAAAGCGGGCTAGTGCGTTTGGTATGTCTTGTCTTGCCTTGCCTGAAGCCTGCCTGGATTTTGCCTGCCTAGCTAGATAGGTAGGAAGGTACTCTAGATACTAACTAATCTCTAGTCAGGTCTGCACTGCAGCGCGACGCATGCGTGCGTGCGCGTGCGCAGCAGTTGCGTTGCGTTCCTGGTGTTGAACTTTTTTTTTTTTTTTAACCTTTTTTTGCGCCGCGTCGCCGTCTCGCGGGGAAGGGCTTGGGGCCGACCAATAGGGCGGGCGCAAGGGCGTGAGGCTGACTGGCTGGCTGGACGGATGGAGGGATGCGATGAGGTGCGGTGCGGTGCGGAGCCGGCCAATTGGGCGGGCAGCGTGGGCGTGCACCTACCTACCTACGCATGCAATGCCCGGTTGATCATCGTTAGGTTAGGTGGTTAGGGTGTGTCTGTGTGTGTGGATGGGGCCTAGGTATGGAGCTAAACCATACCAGGTAACTGCTTGTCGCCGGGTACGCACTTCCCGGATTGCTATGCACTACCCGGATGCGCGCGCGCGCGCGCAAGTGGTGGTGGTGGTGGTGGTGGTGGCTGCGGTGTTGGCATTGGCATTGGATTGGCGCTGGCTCTGGCGCTGGCTCTGGGTAAGCAGTTCCCGGATGGCAAGAGTAGCGTTAACTACCTAATGCGTGCGCGCGTGGGTTGCGGATGGATAGGTGGATGGGCGGCCGTGGTGTGACAATTAACTATTACAGTTGACAGCTTCTGCGGACATTGACAAGCACTCTTCTTTTTTCTTGATGGTGGATTTGGATATGCATTCCAAGCGCTCGCGCGCGCATTGTATATACATTCGGTGGTGGTAAAAAGGAAGCCAAGCAAGTCTGCAGCAAGCGCATCCTAATGTGTAGATAGAGTACAGTACAGCCATACAACATATCCTGTCCCCTCGCACCACACTCATCAGCGGCGCAGCGCTTTCCTTGCTTTGCCTGCCTGATTGCTCGGGTCGGCCAGTCCCCTCCTTCCTTCTTTCCGTGTGTTTATTTGTTTGTTCGTTCATTCGGTCGTAGGTATATCCCCTGCTAAAAGAAAAAGCCATAAAAAAAGCATGCAACCATATGCACCCACGCAATAGCAGCAGCGCCCTCGGCGCACAATTTGGTATCACAGCGCCTCGTATCGTCCCTCCGATTCGGCTCGTGCGCGCGTTTAGCCAAACAGCGCGTCGCCCAGGCGGATGCTGACCGTCTTCGTCTGGACATAGTTCTCCAGCGCGGCCTCGCCAAGCTCGCGGCCAATACCCGACTCCTTGTATCCACCGAAGGGAAGCTGGTGGTGCAGCATGTTGTAGCAGTTGACCCAGACGGTGCCGGCGCGGAGGGCGTTGGACACCTCGATGGCGGTGTTGAGGTTCTTGGTGTGCACCTGTTGCGCGTGCGTTAGCTTTGCGTTGAGAGGGAGCGGGGCAGCGGCGGAGGTCGGGTGGGGACGGAAGGCGCTGGGGTGGACTGGGCTGTGGGGATGGGTGGGGTCAACTTACGGCAGCAGCCAGACCGAACGTCGAGTCGTTGGCAACGCGAATCACGTCTTCCTTGGTCTTGAACTTGCTGATGGTGCAAACCGGGCCGAATATTTCCTCCTGGATGATCTTCATGTCCTCAGTGACGTTGGAGAAAATGGTGGGCTCGATGAAGTAGCCCTTGTCACCGCGGCGCTTGCCGCCAGTCTCGACAGTGGCGCCGGCCTCCTTGCCGTGCTCGATGTAGCTGTGTACCGCGTCAGTTCTCACTCATTTCAAATTTTGTGACTGCGCCACTTACCTCATGATGCGGTCGAACTGGAGCTGCGAAACCTGAGGGCCTTGGAAGGTGCTGTGGTCGAAGGGGTCGCCGACAGCGTTCTGCTGCGCGCGCTCCTTGAAGCGCTGCAGGAACTTGTCGTAGATGGTGTCCTGGACGTAGATGCGCGAGCCGGCGCAGCAGCACTGGCCATGGTTGAAGAAGATACCAAAGTTGACCCACGAGATGGCGTTGTCAATGTCGGCGTCCTCGAAGACAATATTGGGCGACTTGCCGCCCAGCTCGAGCGTCACCTTCTTCAGGTTGGAGCCGGCAGCGGCCTTGAGGATCTGACGACCGACCATGGTCGAACCGGTGAAAGCGACCTTGTCAATGTCCATGTGCGAGGCAATGGCCGCGCCAGCAACCTTGCCGAAACCGGAGATGACGTTGATGACTCCCGGAGGGAAGCCAGCCTCCTTGATGAGGCGGGCAGCGAGGAGGGCCGATAGAGGAGTCTGCTCAGCAGTCTTGAGGATGATGGTGTTACCGGTGGCAATGGCAGGGCCAATCTTCCATGCCCACATCAGGAGGGGGAAGTTCCATGGGATGATTTGACCGCAGACACCAATCTGCTGAGAGTCAGCGCAAGTTGGTAGAGGCTGGCCACAGGACAACTTACGGGCTCCTTCTTCGTGTACGAGAACATCTCGTGGTGGGTGTCGACAATCTTGCCCTCAATCTTGTCGGCCCAGCCGCCGTAGTACCTCAGGCAGCCCGCTGCCATGGACACGTCGTTCTTGGACATGGAGATGGCCTTGCCGTTGTCCAGGGATTCGATGCCAGCCAGCAGGTCAATGTTCTCCTCAAACTTCACCGAAAGCTTGTTCAGAAGCTTGCCGCGGTTTTCGGGAGTCATCAGTCTCCATTCGTCGCCCTCGAAGGCCTTGCGTGCCGCGGCGACAGCAATGTCGACATCCTTCTCGGTGGCCTCGTGGACGGAGGTGATGACCTCCTCGGTGGCGGGGTTCAGGACCTCGAAGGTCTGGCCGTCGACACCCTTGATGAACTCGTTGTTGATGAAGCTGCGCGGCGAGGTGTCAGCCAAGAGCCAGGCAGGAAGTGGGCGCGCGACGGCAATGCGACTTACAGGCCGAGAGGCTGCTCGTACTCGCCCGTGTGGGGAGTCTTGAGGTGGGCGAAGAGAGACATGGTTGCGAGAGAGAAAATGGAGGGGTATCAATCAGTCAGTGTGAAGGAAAAGCGAAGTGTGGTCCTCTACAGCACCTGGCGGGGATGGCGGCTTAAGTAGTCGCCGCGCAGCATCGAGTCGCGCACTCGCCCCCGACCGCATCACTCTTCACCCCATACCCCAGTTCGTGCAGCGGAGGGACCCTCGGGCTCACGGATTGAGGGGCTTTACCCCGCCTCGGCCACCCAGCGGAACCTGCCCGCTCCAGGCGCCGGTCCATTCCCTCATCTTACGCAGCCTTGATTACTTGCAAGCCTGCCCCCACACTCCATCCCGCCGCCAATGACGTCCGCCCAAGATAAGGCCATATTTGCGAGTCGTGCAGGGCCCGCAGCCAAGCCTCATGGGCTCCACCGTGCGCGTCGGCTTCCTTTCGAGCGAGCGGCAACCTGGGGTCTTTCTGCAGTGCCCGTCGCGGCACCAGTCGCGGCACACTAGCCAGGCTGTGGTCCTTGATGATGCCCATCAGCCGCCTGGCGGCAGTTGTCGTCGTCGGCGCTAGACCGTACGAGGTGGAAGAGCGCGGAGATGGTGCTGACTGCCCGTGTGCCCCCCGTTCTCCGCACCCCTCCGACCCCCCACAAACGGCTCCGCTACCCACCGCTGCTGCCCCGTATTGCGCTAGCGGGCGCTGGTCCGGCCACCCCACCCCGTGATCTCAACGAGTCGTACCTTTACGCCCAACGAGTCAACGCCCCATTTCCTCGTCTCCCCTGGCGCCTCGCGTTCATCCGAAGCGCCCACTCATGCGACGATCAAGCTTCGCTGTTATAGCCTGCTATTATTGTCGGCCTGTCGAACGCCGCGCTTACCCTAGATCCCCCATCTGATACACTGCCTTGCATCCTTCAGAGCCGCACGACTTTGCCTAGTCCCTCAAGAGTAATCAATTTGTTCATCCTCGCATGAGCCCCCACCGAAAGTGCTGTTGTACAATGCGAATAAGGAAAAGAAGCGCCCAGCTTGGTCCCCGTCGACAATCCGATCCACACGCCCGGGCCCCATTCTGCTTTCATCAATTTGTGATCACCCCTCCGCACGTGGAGGCGTAACAGCTAAGCCTGCTTCCGTTTACTGATCCTTTTGTCAGCATCACATCCCGGGGCGGTCCGAAGGAAGGCGGAACGGAGCGGCGGAACTCACCATAACCTCATCTTCCATGCCCGTGTCCCCACCGTTGGAAGCCTGCTGAACGGCGCCGCCATTGGTGGTCATCGCCGTGTCGCCATCCGCAGGCCCGGCGTTAGCGCCGCCGTCAAAGTAGTCGGCCATCTCAGCGTCCAGTTCTTCAGCCGTCTTTGGCTTAGGACGGCCACCAGCCGCCTTGCCACGAACACGCTTAGTTTTGCCAGCCTTGCCAGCAGCGGCCTTCGTCGCCGTCGCGGGCTTGGGCTGAGCCTTGGCAGTAGGCTTGGTTTGCCTAATCTCAGTTGTTAGAATCCATGATTGTGGAGACGACGACGATACTTACTGGATGCGCTCGTTCAGAGGCTTGGCGGGAGCAGGAGCAGGGATGTCGGAAGCTCCGAGGAGAACCTCAACCTACATAAATAGTTAGAACCCGCAGCAAAACACACATCACCAAATACTTACCCTCATAGGTCTGTTGTCGACTTTGAGGCCGTTGTGGTTGGCGGCAGCCTGGGCGGCAGCGTCTGCCTTGCTGAAGATGACAGTAGCGACACCACGGCTCTGGCCGTTGGGGCCGTACGCGAGGAGAACCTTCTTGACGGGAGCGACGCTCTTGGAGAAGTATTCCTGTTTAAGAGAAAGAGAGACCGTATTAGTAGAGCTGATAGAAGGTATTTTCCTTTCTTTCACAAGAGCTCCGGGAAATAACAAAGCAGATCTCACGATCCGGGACAGTGCTTCTCCTCGAACGGGAGAACAATAGTCATGCGAATAACAGCATCAGTCAGCGAGCCAGCAGTGAGTGTTAGTAGTTAGTAAGTCCCGCTCTCGTTCCGCAAGCAGATGTCGACTTGCGTTTGATCGCCCAGGCCGTAGTTGTGTCCGAAACTCATGTGGTTCGACCTGAGATATCCAGGGCCATGGTGCCACTATGAAAATGGAATCCTCCTCTTTTGTTCTTCCGCGTTGAGTTGGAAGTACAATAGGAAAGACAATCGCCTCTAAATCCGAAAATGCCAAACCGGTTCAAGATCCGGGAGATGGTTGGAAACCCTCTTATTGTCGGTGCGGGTTCCCTTCGGTATCGGAAACAAAGAACAAACTCAGCAGGCACGTGCGTGCAGGATAGGAACATATCAAGCCGACCGCCTGACGTCGATGCGAAGCCAGACCGCGACCAAAGTTGAAGAGCGTGCCGAATCGATAGATACGCCCGGGGACTGAATGCTGTGCTGTGCTGCTTCACTTCACTGCTGCGCTCGCTGACACCAATGCTGCCACAAGTATGGTGCCATAATAATCCGCGTTCAGTCCTCGGAGAGATACCATATAGGGTATCAAAGCCAGCACTCTAATCGTCTGCACCATGTTCGGTTGGGCTGCTTGCCAGACAGTCTTCCACCATGAACAGGCTTTTTTTGCAAGACGCGCAATGAGCTACCAGTCTCGGTCTCCGCATTAAGCTTATGAGAAGCGAGCAAGAGTACACGAGAGACGTGCATCATTGGAGTGAGGTCCGACAGCGTATGTTTGGGATACGACTGTGAAAATGCGATGCGCGCCCGAAAACGTCTCAAGGAAGATTGCGAGGATCGTGCGTCTTAAATAGAACGGCGATAGGAGTCCAAGGCTAAGCGGCCTTCGCGCTCAAACATACCTTAATCTGAGGTTCAGTGACATCATGCGGCTAGTAAAAGTCAGTGTCTGTCGATTGCAAGGGAGAGCGTAGGACACTTACCAGATTGCTGACCTGAATCTTGCTGTCGCCGTGGTTCTTGGCGGCAGGTCCGGTGGGAATGGCAGCCTTCGCGGCAGCCTTGGGGGCCTTGGTGTTCTTCTTCACTCCTCCGACCGGGGCTGGAGCCGCAAGGGCGGCCTTTCCAGGAGCCGGACGACGAGTAGCACGGCCGCGACGAGCAGTCTGGCGGCGATCCTTGAGGATCTCGTCGAGAGACTGGTTAAGCTTGTCGGTCATGATGTGTATGACTCGCTGGAGTGAGGGTGTGATGTCAGATCGGTCGTTGGGTCTCGCGAAGCTGGCAGATGCTACGACTGAAGACCGTCGTGTATGCTTGAGAGCAAGAGGTTATGCGTAGTTGAGCGGATGGTTTCTTTGCCGGGGGAGGCGCGTGGCGTGAACGAGGTGAGCGCGGAGATGGGGCGCGTTCGCTTTGTGTGGCTGAGACAAAGCAGGGACAAAGAAAGTTGCACAGAAACGCGCAAGATACTGGCCGTCTGCAGTCGCTGCGATGAGTTGTGGAGATGGAGCGACGTGGCGGAAGCAGACGCGATGATGGGAGTTGTGTATGAGCGTGCTTGCGGAAGAGAAGGAGCGAGTCACTCTTGCGCGGCAGGGGCGTGCGGAAGCTTGGCGGTGATTGGAGATTAGATTAGATTGGCAGCCAACGCCCGCATCACCGCCCGCCGGCCAGCTGTGCATCACGCATCCTAAAATAATGGCCTGGTAGAAAATGGCGTTGACCTCGGTGAGTATTCTGCCCCCTTGACCCAGCATCTGACAACTGACACGCCTGCAGTGGAAAACATTCAAGTTCTTCGATGTATCCCAGGTGAAGCTCCCCGATGACGAGAGCTCCTCACTGTTCGAAGTATGCGCCCTCACCGCCCCTGCTCCGTTTCCGCCGCCTGACATGCCTCTCCTAGAAAGGGAAAATTACCAGCGTTGCCTCCGGCTCCGACAATGTTTTCCTTGGCAGTACCGACGGTGTCGTCCGCATCGTTTCGAGTGGTTTCAAGATAATCCGCTCGTTCCAGGCCCATGACGCTGGAGCTATCACGCAAATCAAACAAATTCCGGGAACATCACTTTTGGTCACCATTGCCGAGGACCTTTCGAGTGAACCCGTCCTCAAGGTCTGGGCCCTCGACAAGCTCGAGAAGAAGACCGGCACGCCTCGATGCCAGTCCACACTCCAGATACAAAATGGTCGGAAACAGTTCCCCGTCTCGGCCTTTGCTGCTTTGGAGGACCTCTCTCAGCTTGCGGTGGGCTTTGCAAATGGTGCAGTTACTGTGGTTAGAGGAGACTTGATCCACGACCGAGGAGCCAGGCAGCGGACGGTCTTTGAATCAGAGGAGCCCGTCACCGGCATCGCCTTCAGGGAAGGGAACATCTCGACGCTCTATATTGCTACTACGGGGCGGATATCGACTCTGGTTATCTCTGGAAGAGGCCAAGGTCAACCAGCTCGAGCATTGGATGAGGCTGGTTGTGGTGTTGGTTGCATGACCGTCGACAAAGTCACTGGCGATGTCCTTGTCGCCCGGGATGATGGTATCTACCAATACGGACTGAACGGCCGAGGACCAGTATATGCCTATGAGGGCCAGAAAAGGATGATCAGTACCTTCAAGGACTATGTTGCCGTAGTATCACCTCCCAAAAACAACGCCATCAGGAGTCCTACATTACGTGCATTTGGTGGCAGCCAGACAGACGATCTGTTCAGCACCTCAAATTTTACGCTGCTCAATACAGATTTGAAGTTCATTGCACATCAGGAAGCTTTGCCATCGCAGATTCAAACCGTCTTTGTTGAGTGGGGTGATCTGTTCGTGATGACAATGGACGGTAAAGTAAGTTGGTTGCTGCGAGACAAAATTGGACATCTACTGATATACAAAAGTTGTACCGCTACCACGAGAAATCATTCCAACAAAAGCTCGAGCTACTCTATCAGCGCAACCTGTACGTTCTTGCCATTAACCTGGCCCAGAAAGCCGGGTTAGATACGGCGCAGCAGAACGTCATTCTGAGAAAGTACGGAGACCATTTGTATCAAAAAGGGGATTATGACACTGCGATGCAACAATACCTCAAAGCCATTGACAACACTGAGCCGTCACAAGTCATAAGAAAGGTATCAATTTCAGCAATTCCTTCCGTGGCCAGTGAAATTGGCATTTTTGCTGACCGTGACAGTATCTCGACACGCAACGGATTCACAACCTCATCGAATATCTCGAAGAATTGCACGAGCATCAAAAGGCTACTCCAGATCATACGACTCTGCTTTTGAACTGTTACGCCAAGCTGAAAGACGTCGATAAGCTTGAAGCGTTCATCAAGTCGCCCGGTGATTCCAAGTTCGATCTGGACACTGCGATATCAATGTGTCGCCAGGGTGGCTATTATGATCAGGCTGCTTACTTGGCCCGGAAGCACAACGAGCACGAATTGGTGGTGGATATCCTGATCGAGGACTCAAAGAAATATGCCGAAGCACTGGCATACATCTGGCGATTGGAACCCGAGAATGTAAGAGACTCTGATGACGCTACAGATCTTGAACTAACACAGACAAGGCCTACGAGAATTTCTTGAAATATGCCACTGTACTTTTGGAGCACTGTCCAAAGGATACAACGCAAATATTTATCGACTACTACACTGCCCGTTTCCGCCCAAAGAAAGATGCAGTTGTCATCCAGAATGCACCTGCTCTAAGTGGTATGGGCATAGCATCATCGGCTGTCCAAAATCTTGCAGCACTCTTGCCTCTGCCGTACATGAACTCTAATGCTATTCAATCGCCGGCGTCTGGAGAGCAAAAGATGACAACTAGCCAAGCGCAGATTGTCGAATCAGGGGCGGACGAGCCGGCTGTGGAGTATGAGGTTCCCAAACCAAGGACAGCATTCTCATCTTTCGTCGACCACCCCTCAGAGTTTATCATTTTCCTGGAAGCATGCATCAACTCAAAAGAGCTTAACGAGGATGACAAGTCTGATCTCTATACCACGCTGTTCGAGATGTACCTTCACACGGCAGCGAGCCGAAAGGATGTCGAGAAAGAAGAATGGGAAAACAAAGCAAAGGAGCTCATCCAGGGCAAGGATGTGAGTAGTGCGGTACCGTATCAAAAGGCAGCGGCTAATTTCAAACAGATTCCCATCGATAATTCCAACGTGCTTCTTCTCTCTGAGATGACCAACTTCCGCGATGGCACCATCCTTGTCCGCGAGCAGCAAGGACTCCGGGCAGACATCTTCCGCGCTTATACCTCTGCGAAAGACACGACTGGCGCTATCAAAGCCCTGCGCAAGTACGGTCCCGAAGAACCTTCACTCTATCCCGCTGCGCTGGCCTACTTCACCTCATCGCCCGAGATCCTTGAAGAAGCCGGAGATGAACTCGATGCAGTCCTGCGGACAATCGACGAGGATGGTCTCATGGCCCCGCTTCAGGTCATTCAGACTCTTTCGAACAATGGTGTCGCCACTATGGGCATGATCAAGAAGTACCTCGCCACCACGATTGAGCGCGAACGCCTTGAGATCGCCAACAACCGCAAGATGATTGCGACGTTTGCCGATGACACGAGCGCCAAGAAGGCTGAGTTAGAAGCGCTGAAGGATAAACCCATCGCTTTCACGGCAACGCGCTGTCAGGCGTGTCCCTATCCCCTCGACCAGCCAATTGTGCACTTCATGTGCAATCATAGCTTCCATCAGCGCTGCCTGAACGTCGACACGGAGAGCGACGTGGGGGATGAGCGGGTCGAGTGTCCGCTGTGCGCGCCTCAGAACGCGACGGTGCGGGCGATTAAGAAGGCACAGGAAGAGAGTGCCGAGAGGCATGACATTTTCCTGGATGCGCTGCACAGGAGCAGAGACAAGTTTGGAACGGTGAGCGAGTGGTTTGGCAGAGGGGTCATGAGCGCGCCGACGGTTAATGAGTAAATGTTTGAGGAATGGAAGGGTGATTCATGTGGATGTTTTTTGGTAGATAGATGATAGCTATACCAGTGTCAAGTGTGTTTTCTGGTCAAGGGTGGAACATTCCTAGGGAGCGGGGCTGCTGGACGAGCGCGGTTGCCCGAAATGAGCATCTCGGAGATTTACGACGGCCGCTCCGGATGCGTTGGCAGCGAGCTCAGGCGCAGCAGCAGAGAGGCATTTCATTTGGGCAGACCCGCTAGATCAAGGCTGAGCACAATATACGTGGCTCGGCCGGTCAGCGGAGAGAGGCAGAGGTGGTGCTTCTTCGGGCTGGAGAGGGAGGGTGGGAGGGGTTATCGATAGGCACACACCAAGCTTTCCTACCGATGTGTGGAGCAGCAGGGCGGTGGACACTTGACAGGCGCTGTCACGCAAAGCGGTGAGGTCAGACGGGTCGCTTCGACGCTCACCGTGACGTCTGGGGAAGCCTGCACCTGTAAGCAAGGAACACGCGTGAGGCTGAAAAAAGGTTGTTGCCGAGGGGACCCGACATAACAAAAGGCACCGCTGCCCATCTGCTTGGCGCCACTAGGTATAGCTGGTGCTGGTCAAACACCAACGGCTATTCGTTCCCCCGCCCTCCTCGACCTTCGACTTACACGTGTTCGCCCTCTGCCCTTCGCTCCTTGCTGCTCTCTGCTCCTTAAGCCCTTTGTCCCGCCCGCCTGCGTCCGTCTCTTCATGCGCCAACCTGCCGTCGCCGTCGCCTCTGCTTGACCCGTATCACCACCACATTCCCCGGCCCGCGCTTGCCCAGCATGCTGCACCGCCCCAAGGGCAAAGAGACGCCCAGCTCCATTCCGGGACCTACCTACATGTCCAACGAGCAAGTGGGTGAGTAATAATTTAACCACCCCCCTATTTGCACAGGAGTCTATTTGATCCCAACACTAGACGGCATAGGCAATTACCTTCGCGACCTTCGAAACAACCGCCAAGCACGCCCAACCGGTGCGCGCCCTTTGCCGACGTCTTCTATTTCTACCTGGCGCTCCAAGGCAAATGCCTCTCCTTCGCCTGCCTCGCCCACCCTGTCTTCGCCAACTGCGCCGGCCTCCACTTCAGAACCGCCAAGGTCCCAAAGCGCTCTGTCACACCGCGATCTTTCCTCGAACTCCGGGCAAAAGAGCTTAGCTGCTAGGGCCTCGGTATTCGGCCGTCCACTCGTACGCGACCCGATCGCTAGAGCCCACTCGCGGAGCTCCACCCGGGCTGAGCAACCGGAGAGATCGTCCTCGAGATTCTCCCATAGGACTTCGAACTCGGTCAACGAGAACAAACTAGCGTACAGAGAAAGCGGACAACGGTGGATGGAACGCCAGGAAGCACATTCTTTACGCCGCGCGTTGGAAGATATGGACGTACAAGAAGAACAGAAGCTCTACACGGACGCCCGTGACGAAGCGGCAGAGCTGGTCTGGAAGCACCAGAATCCTTCTGCTGCGTTCAAGAACCCAGATGCGCCCTACGAGTACACGGCGCACCTCAGGAAAAACAGCCATGCGCGCGCTCAGAGCATTGATTCACAGCCAGAAAGCGGGCGCAATAGCTCGGTTGGAAGCCGCGGTTCTAGCATTTCTTCGACGAAAGTGACGGAATCTGCGATTGCTGCATCGCCAGAGGCGAGGAAGAAGACTTTTTCTGCAGCTGAGACGGAAAGACCCAAGTTGGTGACCAAAAACTCCTCGGGTAGCACGAAGAGTCACGTTACATTCGATATACCTCCTCCCCCGGAAAAGCGTCGCAGCAGTAGCAGCAGTTCAAAGAGGAGGCCGAGCGGAAGTCTTTCTGAGAACCCCAAGGATAAAATTCACGAGGAACCCGAAGAACCTACCCCTGTTGAAGCTACCCCTGCTGAAGCTACCCCTGCTGAAGCTGGCCCTTCCGAGACCATAGAGAAGAAGCCGGGCCCCCAAACCAAGATTCCGATCCATAGCCGCAGGAACCCTTTCTCAAGGATACAGTTCTCCAGGGACAACCTTAGCCGTTCAAATACAGATCCTTTGGACGCAAAGAAGAAATTCGACAGGTTCGAAATCCACCGCAATCCGCCGACTCAGTCGCGTAATCCTGCCTACACTTCCTCCAACTATGATAATCTCGAACCATCGCAGAAGCCCCTGGGATCACCGTTGAAGTCCCCCGGATCACCGTTGAAATCCCCCGGATCACCGCTGAAGTCCCCAGCGTCGCCACCGAAGTCTGAAAGCGAGTCTGAAGATGTCAAGATGAAAGAAGGCAAAGAGATTAGAGGTGATGATATTCGTGCCGCTACCAGCATGAAGCTCAAAGATCGTAGCCCTAAGCTCCCCACACCCACCATGGTCAGCGACAGCCGTTCTCGCCCGATTGTGAGCTTCCAGCAAGGTTACAAGCCCAAGGAAATTGAACTCAAGGAAGAGGTGTCGAGAGCCCCGCTTCCCTCTATCAACCTGCCGGATGAGGATCCCAAACCTAAGAGCTACCCCCCAAAGCCCGACAACGGCCCTCGTCCGCTCCCAGAGATCAATGTCCCAGATAAGCCGCTCAGGGGCGGGCCTATTCCACCAATTCCTACTATCAATGCTCCCGACTCCCCCTCGGTGCCGTCCATTAATGTACAGTCCAATCCTGAACCGCCCTCCATCAATGTTACGCCTTCCTGTGGTGCTTCCAGCAGGCCACTTCCCACCATCAACGCTCCCTCATCCTCTTCGACCAGGCCTCTCCCCACTATCAACGCTCCCTCGTCTTCGGCCAGGCCTCTCCCCAATCCCAACCCCAACCCGAAGGCAGCAACGAGGCCGCAGCCGGGCCGGCCAAACCCCCGCCACACCGTGACCACACCCAACATCCACGACGGCTCACACTGGACGCCTGCCAACGTGCGCAGCTCTGCGCTTTGCGCACACTGCGCGCTTCCGATCTCGGGCCGTATTGTGAGCGCTGCGGGATCGCGTTTCCACCCCGAGTGCTTCACGTGCCACAACTGCGGCGAGGGCCTAGAATGCGTGGCCTTCTACCCAGAGCCGGATGCCAGGCGGGCGGAGCGATTGGCGCGCATCGAGAAGCGCCAACGCGGTGAGGATATCGAGGTGCCGGAGGAGTACGTGGGCCGGGAGCACGAGCTCGACGCCGACGACGGCAATGACAGCCCGCGGTTCTACTGCCATCTCGATTTCCACGAGTTCTTCAGCCCGCGCTGCAAGAGTTGCAAGACACCAATCGAAGGCGAAGTGATTGTGGCATGTGGTGCGGAGTGGCATGTTGGTCACTTCTTTTGCGCTGAGTGCGGCGATGTAAGTGACCTGCTATACTCTACGTTTAAGATTTTTGTTGCTAACTATGCTCCCTGATTAGCCCTTCGACTCGTCGACCCCCTTCGTCGAAAAGGACGGTTACGCGTGGTGTGTCAACTGCCACACCAACCGGTACAGCACGAAGTGCAAGAAGTGCCGCAAGCCCGTCACCGAGACGGTTCTTAAGGCTCTTGGTCAGGAGTGGCATCCCAACTGCTTCGTATGCATGGTAAGTCTGCACCACTTTCCCTGCTTTCCTGTTCGCCCTGGCAGGGTGCAGTAATCCGCCGCGCTATTAAGCTAGTGCTAACACATTTCGTAGGAATGCTCTGGCCCCTTCGAGGACGGTCGCTACTTCCTCCGTGGCCCGACCAAGGACCCCGTGTGCGTCAAATGCGAAGAGATGCGCTTGAAGGCTTAAGCACGAGCTATGACCAGTCTTCATCTCGAGCTCAAACGAGCGCATCACATCGCGTCTTTACGCATTGCATCGCATCGAGCGGCGGTTGGCCTGACCGCACACATGCGCGCTTGAGCGCGCGTGTTGCCCTATTTCCCATCTTCTTCACCTGCAGCTCTTAATCCCATTTTGCTCCATTGCTTTTGGTGCATCTCTTTCCTCTCTCTTATTAAAAAAAATGCTTTTCAGCTTAGCGGGGTGTTGGTGGTAACCAGGCCAGTGTCATGTCGTTTTTTGGATTTTTGGATTCTTGGATTTTTGGTACTGTAGCATCATCGTCGTCGTCTTCAGCATCATCAGTAGAACTAGGAAAATGCATCTCTTGAGCTTTGGGGCACCATATATTTTCCGTTTCGAGGAGCATGGCGGTGACTTGTGATTGGTGTGGATGTTTCTTGGTTATCTGTTTGTTCTTATATACAGGTGGTGGTAGGTTGATGCAAGCGGGGCTTTAAGATTGATATCATAGTGTTTGTTATCCTAGCTGCTTGCGGTTCGACGTCTTATTCGCTGGTTCTCTTTTGTGAAAGAAGTTTAGATTTCACGACTTGGAGCAAGTTTGAAACCCCGCCTAAAGAAAGGTAGCAAGTACGTGATGATGGTACATGCGGATTCATGAGGAACCAGTCAATAATGGTCGATTTGCGACAGCATAAATCCATTAGCGTAGAGGTGGAGATTTTTATTCCGCAGCACCACAAATATCTTTCTATAAATTTGGTATATATTTTCTCGTGGCATTTTAGATATACTTATATGGAGCTGAAGATCTCGATAATGAGATGGTACGGTTCCCTTTATATAGTACCGAAAGTTTTTATTTTATAGCTATATAAATATCTCTAACTAGTAATGTAAATACAAATTTTACGATAGGACGAATTACTTTATATATTATTGAGAATATTTATTTTGTAGCTTTATAAATAATTTTATATCTTGCTATAAACTTTTATTTCGTGGCAGTACGAATAGATTTATATAGGGCTGGAGACTATTATTTTATAGCATATAACTGCCTTTTTATGCTCACGTTAGATACTATCTTCATATCGCTAAGAAAAGCTTCACCCGTATAAAAGCAAACTCAAAATATATACCTAGATGACTCCATAACTATACACCGAAAGCAAAAACAAGTGTCCTTTAATAAGTCTTGAATACTATAACTATCCATAACGGTAGAAGTTGCTATATATAGACGTGTCATGAAAACCGTATATACAGCCTTGAATCCGCGAACCGTTGTTGTCTCTCTAACCTCCCATCAACGTACGCATACCACCGCAAATAAAACCAACAAAACTCCTCCAAAATGTTTACATTCAGAATAATGTACGATTCCGGTACTCATGAAACCTTCATAAGGAGCAGCATCACCTGCATTCGGTGCGCCGTAAGCTAAACCTATGCATCGCATATCGAACACGCTAACCGTGTATACAGGGGTTGCGAGAACTGGTCTGCCATATGTACGACAAGGATCAAGCTGATCTATGGTTATGAGAAGAGTGCGCAACCAGCATCATCACTCTCATCTTTTCGTACTCCCCATCTACTTCAACAGCTCCAAAAAAACGAACGAGTCGCCCTTCACACTCAACCCGCTAACGACAACAGGCCGAACCACCACTAATCAACTAACCAACCAACACCACAAACTCACGCTCAGCCACCCACGCAAGACGCGGCCCTAACTAGTAGTCTAGTGCACTACCCAACAAACCACGCAGCGAGATCCACACCTCGCACACGCGGCGAAGCCTAGCAGCGTGGCGTAGTTCTCTAGCAGTCTAGCAGGCAGTGCGCGGCGAGGCTTAGCTTAGATCTCCGTGTTGGGCAGCAGCAGTGGAATTAGCGAGCGCGGGAATAAACCACGCAAAGCTGTCGTTGGCGGAGTTGGGGCTGCTGCTGCTGTACTGGTGCGCTGGGCGTAGATATAAGTATGGGCATGGCACCGGCAGTGGTGGTGGTAATGGTGGTGTTGGTGCCACTGTTGTCGGGTGACGTGGTAGGACGCGAACGCGCTGGCACAGATGGATAGCGGCGGTGGCGCCGCCACGTCCGACGCTATGGACGGGTGTGTCTGTGTGCATGATCTTTGTTGCTTGTGCTGCGTGCGTGCTTGTGAGTAAGACTGCCTTTAGTGTTTGTTTTTCGCGTCGTTGCCATACTTGGTCTTAATCCAATCTAGTTGGACCAAGCTCATGCATATAGCCAATGAGAGTAACCAATGAACTACTTCATCAGTACCATTACAGCCCAGATCACTCACATGCAAGCAGCGGACAGGTGTGAAACGTTGATGTACAGCTTTATTGAATCTCTTCCTCAAATGTTGGTATTGACAATCGATATCTACTGGAAACAGAAAAAGTGGCAATGCGGCGGCAATGACGCGCACACGCAAAGATAGAAGAAGTCTAAACACTACCACGGGCTTTTTTGCCCGATCGAGCTTTCACAAGTCAAGAGACAAAAACAGCGCGCTTAGGTGCACTGGCTGTAGAAGTCATTCTGGACCTTGCAGGTGGTGCCCTCGGGGCAGGTCGTGGCGCCGTTCCAGTTCCTGCCACCGCACTGGCCGTACTTCTTGGCGGTGCCGCTGGAGTTGCCGGGGGTGGGGGTGCTGATGGGAGCGTAGGACGAGGCCTTGGTCACCAGAGTGCTGGGGGTAGCAGCGGGGCTGGAGGCGGCAGCAGGGCTGGAGACGACAGCGGGGGTAGAGACAGCGGCAGGGGTCGAGGCGGCAGCGGGGGTCGAGACGATGTTGTTAACGGCGGCGACGGAGCTGGTGGCGGCAGCGGAGGCGGCAGGAGTCGAGGCACCGGCGGAGGCGACGGCCTCCTCGTTGGAGGCACCGCTGGGCCAGACCTTGGGGCCGGGGAAGGTGTAGCTGGTGGGGATGGGGTAGTAGATGTTGATCTGGATGCCGGGCTCCTTGCCAGTGTAGACACCGGGGATCTTCACAGTCGGGTCGGGGGTAGCGGTAGAGTCGGAGGTAACCTTGATCTGGGCGCAAGAGATGTAGAACTGGGCGCCACCGACCTCCTGGGCACCGTGGAGAGCAATGGACTCAGCACGGAGCAGGTACTCGCCAGCAGGGACCTTCTCGGGGAGAGTGAAGGTGAAGTTCTGCATGTTGGCCGTGGCCCACTGGAGACCCTCGTCGGTGATCTCCTTGGTGCCGAGCTCGTAGACCTTGAACCAGTCACCGGAGCCGTCGTAGGCAGCGGCGGTGGTGTCGGCCTTGGACATGTAGACCTGGACGGGGCCGGGGTGGCCAATGCCCGTGTCGAGGGCGAAGCCGACCTTGTCGCCGGCCTTGACCTCGTAGGTCTTGGTGGACTTGCCGGTGTCGAGTCCACCGGAGTTGCAGCGCAGGTCGTTGGACGTGACATCGGTGATGGGAGAGTTGGAGTTGTCGTTCTTGCGGACATACTCATACTCGGTCGTGTACTTGTCGTTGACAATGAGGCGGTTGAAGCAGTAGTGAGCCGAGATGCTCGGGACAAGCGTGGCAGCAGCCAGCATGGTAGAGAGAGTGAACTTCATTTTGAAAGAGAGATTTTTGAAACCACCGGGGTTAATTTTTTAAGAAAGAATGAATGCAATGGATCAAAGTGAATGAAAGAGAGTGACGCTCAGCGAACACTTGCAGGAGGAGAGAAAGCTGGTGAGGAAAAAAAAAGAGACCTACCGTGGACAGCGAGCGGCATTATAAGTATCGCGACGAGGTGCCTGGGCGATTGAAGCCCGGCCGTAAACGCAGGGAAGTTTCATGCGATCGGTTGCGCACGCGGAGATTACTGGACAAGTCGGGGCATCCATGATCGTCAGAAGTCTAGGAAGTCCGTTTGACAATCGGTAGCCGAAGCCGGCCATGCCTCTTTCGCTGTTTCCCGCCGCCGATCTTTGCCCCCAGCTATTTTAGGGATAACCTTACTCCACCTTCAAACGTGCCCACACCCTGTTCCTGTCTCATGTTGAACATCACCACTGCCGCCGCGTTTCGAGGAAACATGCCCCTCCCGACTTTCTCCACCAATCCGTGTCGGCCTCTCCGCGCGCGCCTTCGGATCGTCTACCCGCCCTGCAGCTGTCTGCAAGTGCTCAAGTCGTGATGGCCTCCACAGCCAGCGTCTAGCACGCGCGCGATCGGCATATGAAGTTCGTTTGTAGTTCTGTTTCTGTAGGGCTGTGTCTCTTAGTGCTTGGCTATAGGCTCCAATCCCTATCTCGTCCCGGCCTCGGGCGGACCTCGATAGTACCCGAGTCCCCCTTCAGCCTCCTTTTCGCTTTTCTCTCTCATCTCCGTCGTGTACGCACGAGCGCAGCGTCGAAAGGTCGGGACGGGCTCCACAGGGGGACCGCCCTTTCGGTCCACGGCCGAGTGGCGTCAGATGCAAGGTGACGCTAGAAAGCTTGTCGTTTTCCGGACCAGCCTCTTCCTGGAGTCCTCTCCGATTATGGATCACCTCAATATCAACGCGCCCCGGAAGCTTTCCCATGGATCCGTTTCCGTGCTGTGTAGACTCCGAGATCCGCGGACTCAGTGGGGTCCATAAAGGAGCAGGTGCACCCCTTGAGTACGAGGATTCGTCATCGTTGCCGGAACATCGGAATTCACGGACGTCTGCGTGGCTTTTCCGCGACGGTTATCGGGGGCCTGGTTTTTATCTGAGTTGACTTTGGCGGGCTCAGCAATCTTGCCCTTGTCCGCATGGCATGATCAATCTCAGTAGCCCGGCTTCATCCATCCAGGCCTGCTCGTTTTCGCCCTCCGAGCTGGAATTTTGGGGCAAAGATACGTGCACGCCATGGCCGAGTATCATGGAGATGATTGTATTGTAGGATTTTGATGCTTCTCCTTTTGCCACTAGTTTGCCTCTTCCAATATTCGAGCGGTCTTGTGAGCATGCTGTCCTGCTACAATTGACCCACCACTGAAAACTATGATTGAGTATACCTATCCACCTGCAATAATTCCATATTGCTTAATCGTCTGCAACAGATTCTATGTTTTATAGCCTCATCAAGTAAAATCAACACAATCGCCCCAGTGTATCTGCAAACGTTGCGCTCAAACACGAGACTCTCCGCAGCCTGTATCCTATCCGTCTCCCTCCGATATGTAACTCGTTCGCACGGGGTATACCCATCGACAAGATAAACCCCAGGGTACCTCGGAATAACATAACATAGCCAAATTCACAAGCTAGCAGTAATACCCGACTCTGGTTCCGAAATGGGCGTCAAAACCAATACCTTAAACGAGCGAGCGATAGCAGCAGCATTGTCCTCTGCCACCATACCTCACACCTAAACGCTTCTGATGCGCATCAACACAAAAGAGCAGCGATTGGCAGCGAAAGAAAACCCGAGACCTCTCCCAGAGCACTCACTGCCTACACCGAGCGCTGCTGCTGCTGCTGCTGCTACTACTGCAGTCGAGGCCCGCCGGACGGCACAATATGGTTATGAGGATGTAAAGCCAAGCCCACATAGGTCGTCAAGACTTGTCTCTCCATATTCCCTTTTATACCTATCAACGATTCCCAACCCCGCCGTCCTCTCACTGCCAACACCACACCAACTACCTACGCTATCTGTCCGCCTGCCAACCTGGGTATACAAATACGAACGAACGCACGAAACGAACCAAGAGAGCCAGCAAGCCCAACCCCAACCCCAACCCCGCCAATAAAAGCAAGGCAGATCAAATCAAGCTCTCCCACTGATCCAACCCCTTCTTCTGGCCCTGCTGCCCCATACCCATGCCCATGCCCATTCCTCCCATACCCCCAGATCCCGCACCCGCACCCGCGCCCCTCCCCGCACCCACGCCCCCAGCCGGCGGCGGCGCAATAGAAAACGCGCTATACATGCCGGCCACGCCCTGCGACTGCTGCTGCTGCCCCGCCGGCGGCGACGACACCATGCTGCGGTTCTGATTCAGCACTTGCATGGCGTTCTGCGTGTTGACGGCGCGCGACGCCGCGCTCCAGTCGATGCCGCCTGCAGAAGCGCCCGCCGCACCCATGCCTGTGCCCATGCCCATGCCCATGCCAGCGCCACTGCTATTCGCCCGCGCCGGCTGCAGCGGCAGACTAAACGCCGATTGCTGCTGTTGTTGCTGCTGCGGGCCCGTGCGCTGCGGCTGCAGCACCCCGAACGAGGCCATGCTCTGATCGGGCGTGATAGTCCTGCTCGGACCGGACGGCGCCAGAGTCGGAAACGCCAGGGAGGTTGGCCTCGGCGCCGGCGCCGACGTCTGCGGCGGGGGCGGGGGCGGAGGCGCGTACGCCTGCCCTTGCGCCGGCGGCGACGGCGTGCTCCACGAAAACTGCACCGCCGACTGGGTGCGGGGGTTCGGGGGCCGCGACGACGACGACGCCTGCGGGGCCGCTGCTGTGCCGCTTGCGGCCCACCCGCCGTCGAAGGCCGGAGCGGCGTCCACGCCGCGAGGCTTCCCCAGCACCAACGCCTCGAAGTCTTCTTCCCCGCCGCCGCCTGTGGGCGACAGCGTGCCGTTGGCGCCGGCGCCGCCGAAGCTCAGGAACATGTCGCCCGGGGCGGCGGTGGCGGAGGCGTTGGCCGGCGCGCCGAGCTCCTGCAGCTTGCGCGTGTGCTCCGTCTCGATGCGCGTCGAGAGCTGCTTGATCAGCTGCATGAAGGACTGGAACTGCGGCAGGTTGAGCAGGGGCCCCAGGCTGAATTGCCAGAGGAGCGGGAGCACGTCGGTGGCGAGGAAGTCGGAGTCGGCGATTTTGCCGACTTCTTTGAGGACGTCGAGGGAGGCCATCTATGAAGGCTGGGTTAAAAGCTGCGGGTGCGACTACTGCTTGGCAGGGAATAGGGGATGCGGTTCTTACCATGACTGCGGGCTCCTTGGTCTTGATGGCTTTGAGCAGCGGGACGATTTTCTCTTGGATGGTGTATTTATCCAGGACTGCTGGGTTCTGTTTCCTCTTTTTCGCGTCGCCGTTTATACCGTCGAGGCCATCGGCACCGTCCTGTCCTGGGGGCGTGCCGCCACAGAGCACTTGAAAGGCTTGCAGACCGCGGACCTTGATGCCCATGCTGGTCGTCTTGGCGAATACGCTAGAGATGATGGGGAAGAGCTCGTTCTTGATGGTGGAGAAGTCGAGAACGTATAAGATGATGGGAAGAGTCCGCAATCCGGCGTCGACCAGGGAGTGGGTAGGTGATTCGAGAGCGATATGAATGATTGGAAGAATGTCTATACAGGTTAGAATTTGCAGTGATCCGACAGGCTCAACGACTTACCATCTTTGAACTCCTTGCCATTAGTGCTGTCGGCCATCAATTGCGTGTTCTCCAACAGCACCATCAGTCCCGCCTCCTTTGCACTGTCCCGCTCGCCCTTGACGCCACCACCACTAAGAATTATCTCGCGCAAACGCGGAATGACTTTTTCGCAGAACGCACGTCTACCTGCAGGCATCAAACCAATAATCTTGAAGATATTTTGCAACACGAGCGCCAACAATTCCTTATCCTTCATTTCCTCAAGCAGCGCCGGCAGAACCTTCTTCTCCAGGACGGACTTTGGAAATTGGTTGAGGATGCGCGGAAGCCCGCGCATGAACTGTGTTTTCTCGTTCGGTGTCTTGGCCGGCAGCGTGTCCAAGAAACGAATGGTGGAGACGAGGATGTTGTCAAAGTATCCAGCTTGCTGGAATTCGCGCGCATTGAGACGCTGCGCTGGCCTCCGCGTGATGAGACGCGGGAGCAGCTCATACTGCAACTGCCGTGGCAGCGGAGAGGATAATAGGAAGTTGTTGGACTGAGTCGGTACCGAAGCCGAGGATGCGAAGATGCGCTTGTATGTGGACAGGCTCTGGTTCGATTCGAGCGGGCTGCGGTGCGGCGAGTTGTACAAGGCGATGATGAGCAGGCCCAGCGAGAATATGTCGGCGGCCACGGAGATGTTGTTATCGAGGACGAAGTCGGGCGACGTGTAGTCGAGATTCATCTGCACCGAACGCGGCAAACGGGGATCGTGATTGAGGAGCTCAGAGAGCGAAATGGGAGCGACAGAAGTAGGTTTGTTTGAATTCTCGGGCGGGCTGCAAAAGGCCAGGCCCGATATTTTCCAGTCCGACTGATATGAAGCACATCAGCACAGCTACTATACACAAAGGAGAAAAAGCAGGACTCCCTACTTTGGCATTGACAAAGACGGCCTCGGGCGTCAGGTTGCAGTGGACGAGCCCCGCGCTCTCGTGCAGAAACTCGAGGCCCTTGGCCACCTGCAGCAGGCCCTTTTGGATCTCGAGCTCGTCAATCTCCACCTCGCGCCTCCTCCTGCTCCCCGCGTCGTCGACGACGTGCCTGCTGGCGCGCCCTCCCGGGCCGCCCGACCGTTCCTGATCATCCTTATCGCGCAGCAAGCTGCCCAGCGAAGCCGTCACGGGCTCCGTCGCAAACATCAAGCCGCCATTGCGCGTCTCCTCGACGGGCTCGGCCAGCTCCAAGATGCTGGGGTGCCGCAGTCGCGCCAGGCTACTGGCCTCCTTCTTCAGACGCTCCAGCACTTCCTCGTGCACGCGCTTTAGCGACCCTGCAGCGGCGCGCCCGCCCATGCCCAGCCCGCCGCTGCCCTGGGGCTCCAGGTTCTTCTTGTCGAAGACGAAGACCGAGGCGGGCTTGCCGGTGCTCTTTTTCTTGGCATCGTAGATCTTCCAGGGTCCGGAGTAGGACGAGGGCTGCGAGGCGATGCTGTAGTTGGAGGAGATGTTGGAGGTGAAGGACTTGAGGGCCGACGAGAACATGGACATGGTGGCGGAGTGGGAGTGGGAATCAGGCGGCTACAGTATCATTGCTGCGCGCAAGGGCGATGGGGCGCGCGGTGGGTGAAAGTGGGAAGCTGGGAGTGGGAATCGGGGAGGGCGTAAAAAAGCGAGAGACGTAGGTAGGGCAGGTAGGGGTGAGAGGAGGATGTGTAATGGGTGGATGGGCGATGGGCGATGGACGATGGACGAAGGAAGGGCCAAGGGCCACGACTTCGGTGTTGTTCTGGAACATCCGGGGTCCATTCAGCGCTCGCCGCTCGGCTCGCGGCTGACTGGCCCCGATGCATGTCAATGTGCTAGTCATACAATTTCACCACCACCGCCCTCTCTTTCTCTCTCTACAACCTCAATTGCCCCCTACCCTCTCCCAAACGGCCCCGTCACGGCCCAATCCCTCCACCATGCTGCAACAACGGTCCGCCCGCCTATTCTCCGCCCTCTCTACCCTCTCCGCCGCCCGCCCTGCGCCTTCCCTTGCGCTGCGATGTCGGAGAGCTTACAGCACCGAATCACCTAAGCTGGCGGGCATTGATCCCTCCAAGCTGTCCATCACCAAGACGACGACTCCCAAGGACCTGCTGCCCGCCGAGGAGCTGGTCTTTGGCCGCACCTTCACTGGTATACACCTACATCATACCACCCATATCGCATGACATGACCGGTTGCTGATATGACTCCCACCCGCCAGACCACATGCTCTCGCTCGAATGGACCGCTTCGCAAGGATGGCTGAGCCCGCGCATCACTCCCTACCAGAACCTGTCGCTGGACCCTGCGACATGCGTCTTCCACTACGCCTTCGAATGCTTCGAGGGCATGAAGGCGTACAAGGACGAGAAGGGCACCATCCGGCTGTTCCGGCCCGACAAGAACATGGCGCGACTGAACAAGTCGTCGGCGCGGATTGCGCTACCGACGTTCGACAGTGAGCCCATGACGGAGCTCATCTCCAAGTTCGTCTCGCTCGAGGAGCGCTTCATCCCGTCGCAGCGCGGCTACAGCCTGTACCTGCGGCCGACGATGATCGGGACGCAGCGGACGCTGGGCGTCGGCCCGCCGGGCTCGGCGCTGCTGTACGTGATCGCGTCGCCCGTGGGCCCGTACTACCCGACGGGCTTCAAGGCCGTCTCGCTCGAGGCGACCGACTACGCCGTGCGCGCGTGGCCCGGCGGCGTCGGCGACAAGAAGCTCGGCGCCAACTACGCGCCGTGCATTGTGCCGCAGATGCAGGCGGCCAGCCGCGGCTTCCACCAGAACCTGTGGCTGTTTGGCGAGGAGGAGTACGTCACCGAGGTCGGCACCATGAACCTGTTCGCGGCCATCAAGGACAAGGAGACGGGCCAGCCCGAGCTCGTCACTGCCCCGCTCGACGGCACCATCCTCGAGGGCGTCACGCGCGACTCGATTCTGGAGCTGGCGCGCGAGCGCCTCACGCCCAAGGGCTGGAAGATCAGCGAGCGCAAGTTCACCATGCGCGAGCTGGCCGACGCGGCGGACGAGGGCCGCATGCTCGAGGTCTTTGGCTCCGGCACCGCTGCCGTCGTCAGCCCTGTGCGCAAGATCAGCTGGCGCGGCCGTCTCGTCGAGTGCGGGCTCGAGGAGGGCAAGGAGGCTGGCCCCATTGCGCAGAAGATGATGGACTGGATCGCGGGCATCCAGTACGGTGACGAGAAGCACCCCTGGAGGTAAGTTCTGACATGGCTACTCTGATCTTTTTCACTTCCCTCTCTTGGAGCTCGCGCGCTGACTCACTCCCCCGCACAGTGTCACCATCTAAGCAGACCACGTGATGGCGTGACGACATGAGAGGTGGCGCATGTAACCACTACATACAAGCACGCCGCACACATACATTCGTGCACACGTAAAATAGAGGCTATCTAGACGCGCGGCATGGCGCGGTGCCAACACCAAAAGCGAGAAGAGAGAGTGAGAGAGTGCGAGAGAGAAAGAAAAGAAAAAGAGCAGAAGTTAAAGAAGGAGCCCCCCAGGCTCTGGCTCAGGCCCAGGTAGCGCCATCCATCTATCCATCTAGATCTCTCTGTTTTTTTTTTTACAGCTTCTTCTTCTTTTTCTTCGCTTCTTCTCTTTCTTTCCCTCTTCCTCCTCTTTCCGTCTCGATTTTTCTGCACGCACGGCTGCTGCCGTTACATGTGGTGGCGCATTTGCTGTGTTTGATTTGCTTTCTTTTCTTTTCTTTTCAGCGCGCAGATTCGAGAGGGCTGTAGTCGGTTGAAGATTGTGCTTTCAGCTTGGAAATGGCTTGGGTTGTTGGCTGTGGTAGCGTAACGTAGCGTAGACGAGGCGGGAACGGCGTTTTTTGGTGTTTGTGCTTGTTGTTGTTGTGGTGGTGTGTGTGTGCGTGTGTTGTGGGTGCTGGCTTGTATGAGTGTGTGAGTATGTGGTTGAGTCTGTGTGTGTGTGTGTGTGTGTGATAGTGTATAAGAATGTCCAGCGCGTCTCGTCTGCTTCCACTTCAAGTATGTGAGCACTATGTATCACCACCGTTGCGCGTCGTTACGACTACTGGCTACAGATGTAGCTATTGTCATTTACATCCCCAGTGGTCGCTCCTCCATACAAACATTACAGATACCGCAACCAAGTCTCTACACTGCTGACATATCACTCCCTAGCTAGATCTCGAACTTACACCCATAGCTGGACACATAACCCATAAGGGCACACATGCATACATGTATGTATGTATGTACATTGCGCCATTACCTACCTATATACCACCATCCTCCGACGACCGTAGTGTTCTCTCGTCCCTACCTAGGTACTCTTACTCCTACCTGACACTGCTCAATTGGACAAGGTATGATATTGCGGAACGATATGCTGGTACAGAGGACGTGGTGGTCTGAGCTATATTGTACACTGCTGTTATTCTGTGAGACGTGGGTGAGGTGGTGAGGTGCTTTGATGTGTTATAGTGTGGTGTTGTGGTGTTGTGATGTCGTGAAGCCGAGGCCGGGGTTAGGGCTAGGGGATTGGGTGGCTAGTGGAGGGGGCGCGAATGCTGAGTAGTGGGGCAGAGCGGGCGGGCAGTGTGGAGGTGGAAATGAGAGTGACGGAAGGTTGGAAGTGGTAGTGGCGGATGGTATTGCTTGGTGTGCTGATAGTTGCGTATACAGTTGTTATTGCTCGACGTTACTAGGTATAATTGAGCGCCCGGGTGCTGCTGCCAAGACGTCATCGTGCTAGTAAGCAGGGTAGTAGTTGCATATGGGAAATCTGCATGCAATGCACGCACGTCTCAAAAGCACTTGGCACCGGCACTCAATGGATGTGTTCCTCGGCGCAGCGCAAACGGCCAAACCACGAGTATGTTTGGAATCCTCATCTCGCTGTGTAGGTAAGCACACACACGCAACACCGACGGACAAACAACAACAACAACATCCACACGCCTTCCACGCTTTCTTCCCTCTTCGCTCGGGCACTCAATTCGGGAAAAGAATGGGCACGGACAAATCGACCAGACCATTGGCTTTGCTTTGCTTTGTCGTAACTTTGCTCTTTTTAGGCCATCCTGACGTTTTGCTTTAGGTACAACATCGCTGATTTACCCCGCCGTGTGGTGACCGATCCGATAGCCCGCGCAACGAAATGCTAGAAGAAACCGAAGACAACACCCCGGACCAAAGGCTTACGCCTGAGCCTGTAGCACGAACACCATTGTCAGCAACTCATTCGATGTTTTTTTCGTATATTGGCGGTTTTGCTGTGATTATTTCTTTTGCGGGGCCCGGCACGGCGGGAAAGCGTTTGCGGCAGTGCCCGTCGTGCTCGGTGGTGATGGGCGGGCGGGTTTGTCCTCATACCTTGACGGCGAAGACCCTCTGGGGGAAGTGGATCTGCTTCTTCTTCTGCTTCTCGGTGGTGAGGGAAGCCTCGTGCTTCGTTAACCGCCTGCGCATGGCGCGGGTCTTCTTGGAGCGGAGGTCCAGAGGCAGGTACTTCTTGCCCTTGTAGAACAGGCGCAGCTGGTTGCGCTGGCTGGCGTTGATGACGGTGAGGACGCGGGCGATCGACTTCCTGACGTCGTGGCTGCAAACGAAAGATTCCAGTCAGCCAATTTTGCTCTCTCATCATGACCCTTTTGTCATTCGATGTCTTCGGTCCCCCGTTGGGGCGAGTGCGAAATTCGGTGCGCGTAACCCGGGAGCTTGGGTGCGGGTGAGGGATTCGGGAAGCCGTACATCTTGGTGAGCTTGGAGGAAGCACCGCCAGCGATCTTCTGGGTGCGAAGGCTGACGAGCTCGGTCTTCAGCTCTTCGAGCTGCTTCTGGAGCTCCTCCTTGTTCTTTCCCCAGAGCTGGCCAGCCTTAACCTTTCCGGACGACTGCGAGCACTGCGTTAGCACTCATTGCACGGCGGCGGTCCAAGGGTGCTTGCCGTACCATTGTGGCGAGTTGTTGAACTGGTCGGTGGTTCGTGAGGGGATGGGGGTCGTCGTCGTCGGTCGTCGTCTCAGTCGCGAAAAAGCGATGGGGTCGCCGCAAATTCAGTCGTCGAAGTGGGCGCGCCTCGCTTAGCGGCAAGCGCCGTGGCCAAGCCCCGCCATCCCTGCCGCCAATCACGTGCGCCCGCCGAGCGCCTGCAGCTTGACAGCGCCAGCCAAGGTCACCACACTTTAGTTGGCACTCTTGCGACAACACACTTCTGAGCCATGGCTTCAACAGGTGGCGGCTGGGCCCAGCTGCGCCAACAGGCCCGCTCTCTCGAATCTCAGGTATGCGCTCTCACTCATTCCCTCTGTCTGCCTTGTACATGCTGACCGCGCGGCTAGACTGAAGCTCTATTCCACACATACTCGCAGTATGCCTCGATGACCAACATCCCCCAAAAGCCCACCGAAGAGGAGCGGCGCACCGAATCGCAGATCCAAGACTTGCTGGAAAAGGTCCGCACACCTCGCCCTCCTACTTCTCGTCTGCGCCACTGCTAACCCCAACCAGCGCGACGCCCTCGTTGGGCAACTAACACGGCTCCTCGACTCCTCGGCCGACCTGACCTCCTCCGCGCTCAAACAGAACAACCTCGCCCGCCATCGCGAGATACTCGCCGACCACCGGCGCGAGCTGTCGCGGCTCCGGTCCACCATCGGCACCGCCCGCGACCGCGCCAACCTGCTCTCCGACGTGCGCTCCGACATCGACGCCTACCGCGCTGCCAACCCCGCCCAGGCCGAGGCCGACTACATGCTCGACGAACGCCGCCGCATCGACAACAGCCATAACATGGCCGACTCTGTCCTCTCTCAGGCCTATGCTGTCAACGAGAACTTTGGCTTCCAGCGCGAGACCCTCGCCAGCATCAATCGCAGAATCACTGGCGCCGCGAGCCAGGTGCCTGGTATCAATACCCTTATGAGCAGAATCGGCGCTAAGAGGAGGAGAGACGGAATCATTTTGGGCAGTTTTATTGCGTTTTGCTTCCTTATGCTCATGTGGTTTTGGTGAGACCGGACAGGCCTCACGTTGTAGGTTAATGGCAGGGCGTTAAGGAGTCGAGCTTTCGTTGCACTCTGTCTTACTGGACTTTTTTGGAACATGAGGATCGGCGTTTGGTTGGGAAGCGGGCGAATTATCACGCCAGTCATTGAGAAGCGTTACATCTTTTGTACAATTTCATCACATCCTGCGCGACTCTTCGCTCGTCACGCTGTGTCGGTGGCTATGACGCATCAGCCGACGCAACTCGGGCCTTAGTCGGAGCCTTGGTCGCGACCTTGGCACCGCTCTTCTCTGGGTGGCTCGCAGCCTCGTTGACCAGCATCTTCAGTCCCTTGTTCAGCCACTCCTTCTCCTCTCCCTCGGCGTTTCCGCTTGCTGCCCAGCGAATCCTGCATTGTCCATCCACCAAGAAAGTGTACCCGACCTTGCTGTTCATCAGACCTATGTTTTCGCGAAGCTCATCCGTGATGCCTCGCCTGATGAGGAAATACTTGTCCCAATCCTCCTCCCTCCTCTCAGCCTTCAGCCTGCCCTGGAAGAACTTGACAATCATAGCCTTCAAAGCATTATCCTCGAGGTTGAGTTCAACGAGCTGCGCAGCATCGCGGTGCTTGTCAAGCACCTCGTGCAGGCCCGGATTGGCCGAGTTGTCGATGAACGTCTTGGCCTGCTCAAGGCCCCATTGCGAGCTGTAGACAGACACGACGGAGACGCGGTCCAGCAGCACGAGCGTCGTGTCGCGTTCCTGCTTTGGCGACGCCAGCGTCGTGCCGACGAAGTTGGGGAAGAAGAGCGCGCGGTCGCGGCGGAACACGAGCGGGTTCGCCAGAAACGACTTGCCCGAGTGGTACTGCATGTTGGTGAAGTCGCGGAAGTAAGGCTTGCTGACCTGCTTGGTCCTATGAATGCGCCGTCAGCTATGTCCTCGCACCGTTGCGCCTGGACTGCGGGTCGCTCAGCCAACAGACTGGCCAGACTGGGCAAAACTTACAGCTCCTTCCGCCGCTGAATGTGTTTGTCCCAGTCGACAAAGTCGTCGCGCCGCTGCCGCACGCTGCGCTCATCCCGCCCGCTGTAGTCGCCCGGCACCGGCGGCCTGTGGAACCCAATCGGCCGCCCCAGCACCTGCGGCGTGAAGCCCTCCGCTTTGCTCGGCGCCTTGTAGCTCGCGAGGCCCTGGCCGACCGACGCCTCGCGCGGCTTCGCGTTTGCGTCACCGCCCTCGGGACGCGGGTCGTTGGGCGCGGCGGCGCGTAGGCGCGCAGTCGTTTGCAGCGCGCGCTGCTGGCACGCGCGGCATAGCGTCGGGAGGGTGCGCAGGGGCTGGCGCAGGATGCTGCGCGTGCGGAGCGGAAGCATGGTAGGTGGTGATGAGTGTGGTTGGCGGAGAGACGTGGGCTGCGGCGGCGGAAGAAGTTCGCTTGCCTGGATAGGGAAATATGGGCGCGGGGTTTAGGGCGGCTATGTCCGTGTGTTGGTGCGTTTTGAGCTTCTTCTCCACGTGAGGCCGACGGTGTTTTTTGCACGCACACCCAGGTCATTCATTTGGTTAACATCCTGCCTCGCAAGGATGGCTTGTTTACTCGAGGCGCACGGGTGCAAGGTGCACAAACTCACAACCGAGCAAGCAACCTGCCGGTAGCACTTCGCATGATCTTCGACGCCTCTACTCTGGTTCAACTCCAGTCCTTCAAGCACGACAATTTCTCAAGAGCATCAATGCAAAAAGTTTGTAGGTGCAATGTTTTCATTATTCCAAAGGAGCGTTAGACATTACTCATTACCCGTGTACAAGAGATTAATGCGCTGATCTCTCGGATCACAACCTCCCCCGCCTCTGCATCATGCTTCAGACGTCATACCGAACATCTTTTTGATGCTTGATTTTCGATGGATCTTCCTCCTCTTCTCGTCTGTGGCGGTTGATTTACAAGCCGCACTGGGCAGCAGGGACCTCGACGGACTGAGCGTCAATGCGGCCAAGCTGAGCGGCCTGGCCGTTGGTGAGCTCGTTCATGGCGGCCTGGGCGAGGTTGAAGCCGTTGGCAGCGTGGTCGATGGCCAGGACGTTGATGCTCTTGCCGTTGTAGGTCAACTGGTAGCACTTGCCGCACTGCATTGTCCACATGTCAGTCAATCTGCGTACTTCCGAACCATGCATCAATCATGAGATGCGGGGAACGGGAACACTCACGTTAGCGGAGCCCCATCCGGCAATGGTGTCAGAACCGCCAATGTGGGGGTAGCCGGCAACGGCACCCTGGGTCTGCCAGCCGTACTTGGTGATCAGGCCGTTGGCACCGTCACTGCAAGAGACGGCAGTCAAGCTGCGGGAGGCATCGTCGTAGCCGGTGTCGTAGGAGACGCTGGTGGCAGAGGCGCCGAAGGCCAGAGCGATGGTAGCGAGGATGGTGGTGAACTGCATTTTGGCTGGGTGGAGTGGTGTTGGTTGGATTAAGATTATGGAATGGTATGAAAGAGGATGTTGGTAGTGAGGATGGACTGGATTGATGGGTTGATGGTGGGAGAGAAGTCTAGAGGTGGGAAGACGGGTGACTTTATATTCATCCAGTTGCTCCTCCCTCTTCGTATCCCCTCCCTTCGCACTTGGCTACAAACCGGTGTGGTGGCAAGCAAACACTCGACGCCATCACGGATCGAACCACTGACCGCGGGCCCACCTCGTACGGATAGGTGGTCCAGGTAGGGACCGAGCCTGTAGGTCAAGGGAATGCCGTACCTACAAGGTAAGCATCCGGGCGTTCTCGGCGGCCCGTTGGCCTAAGCCTTCGTATCTCCGCACCGATCGCAGCTAGAGAGAGAGCTACAACCAACTCCCCCAACATGCAGTGAGCCATCATCATCCTTCGCGCTGCCACGCCCACCTCTCGCCCGTCTGACGCCGCGCAGCAAGACACGCTAGGCAAGGCCGAC